GCTTACTCAGTCAGCATACCGCCCTTTGATCGGAATTGTTCCCTAGGGGTATTAGCTAGCATTTGGTGTCAAGGGACTACTGAGCCACTGAGTGCAATATCGTGTCCGAGGGCCGAACCATCTCTGGAGACAAGTCTTTAACGATTTGGGCGTCCAGGCCTGACGTTTGTGGCATGGGAACCAAATTCTTCACCGCCCAACGGATGTGATATTCGTGTTCAGGGAAGTAGGGACGGATTTGCCTGTCGTGTAGAATTTTAAAACCTAATTTCTAGCAGTGGACTTGGGAGGGGTAGATATTGCTCTTTGGACTTGTTCTCTCATCTCCTAATTTTTACATATTTTCCGTTCCTAAGAACTCCTTCGTTTTTATCTACAAAAAGTCGTTTTTTCAGTTGAGCTATATGGCAGCTGCATTGAAAGACTACAGCGATCCGGATGCTGTGCCAATAGAAACGTGCCTTAAGGTTTGTTAACCATTACAGTTGTAAAAACACCGTGAAAAGAGCTGAAATCAAACTTCTTGGCAGGTACATAGGCTAAATACGATACGAAAAAGAGAAAGCAATTTGGTTTGAGAGAGGACTTTGCACCCTGGTTACTTCCCATCTTTGTGCTCATTGTTTTAAAGAATTAGCAGATTTTTTACAAGACTTGATAAGTATTAGGTCGTGGCAAAAATAATGACCGTTTTCGCACCTGCTATGTTCCACTGATCATAATTCATTGAAAACTTAGGCAAATATAGTAATTTAATATATCGTTCGGAAGCACATTTTTCAAGCTATCGTACAAATTTTTCCCGTTTCTCTGCCACCATTTCTTCTACGATTTTGGGTCACCCGCGAAGATGTTGTCAAGACGCGAAATCCGACTCATCATGCTTCACGAGTACAAACTCGGCCGTAATGCTGCGGAAGGAATATCACCAACGCATGGGGCGAAGGTACTACAAATGAGCGCACCACGCGTAGGTGGTTCGACAAATTCCGAAATGGAGACTTCAACCTGGAAGATCAGGAGGGACGCGGTCGGCCATCGGAAGTTAAAGACGACGAATTGAAGGCACAGATAGAAGCCATGTGAAGGTAAAAAAAAACTTGACAAGTGGATCCCGCATGAGTTGACTGAGCACCAGCAATCTCGTCGTCTCGAAGTCTGTTCGTCTCATCTTTTGCGGAACAAAAACGATCCTTTTCTGCAACGCATTGTGACGTGTGACGAAAAATGGATTCAATACGACAATAGACGACGGTCAGGACAGTGGTTGGATCACGACGAAGCTCCTAAACATTTTCCAAAGCCGGAGTTGCACCAAAAAAAGGTCATGGTGACTGTTTGGTGGTCTACAGCCGGTTTGATCCACCACAGCTTCCTGGCTCCAGGAGAAACCATCACAGCGGAGAAGTACTGTGAGGAAATCGAAAAATGCACCAAAATTGCATCGGATTCAGCCGGCATTAATCAACAGAAAGGGCGCGATCCTACTCCATGACAACGCCCGACCGCATGTTTCATTGATGACAACAAAAAAACTGATGGAGTTGGGATATGAAACTCTCGACCATCCTCCATACTCACCAGACCTTTCCCCTACGGATTATCACTTTTTCAAGCATCTCGAAATTTTCTTACGCGAGAAATGCTTCCGAAACCAAGACGACGTAGAAAAGGCATTCAACGATTTCGTCGATTCCAGAACTCCAGAATTTTATGCTGCCGGAATATCTAAACTGCCTTCTCGTTGGCAGAAATGTGTTGATTCTTTTGGTCGTTATTTCGATTGAAAAGCAACACTTTGAAGCGAGTTATGATATTTTAAAATATTTGCTTCAAAACGGTCATTATTTTTGCCACGACCTAATAGTTTCTACACTGGTTGAGTGGTACCTCTTCATGATTCCATGAGATTTCACAGATCTCTTTCTGACTCGACGACGATGGAAAGTAGCGAAGTGCAGAAAGCCCCTCCCCCTCCCCCTCCAAGCCAAACTGTATCAAAAAAGTTCTGGTAGAGTTGTGAGCTCGAGTACGCCTATATTCCTGCTCATGTGCTATGAAGGCTTTTGTCTCAAGGGCCATATTTATATTAACTTCGCGGATGCTGAGTGATCCTCGAGTCCAGAGAAAGCGGCAAGGAAATGTGTACGTATCGATTTGTAAAAATCCGTAACTCAAAAGAATGTGCGCATTGGGAGGCGAAAGCGTCGAATAGGAGTCAGTGGACTACGCCTGCTACTGTTCTTGGAGGATGCACAACTCGTTAGCGGGTGTAGCCAGTCGACCCTTCTTTCTTAAAAATCTGCCGAGTCGCGGATTCTTCACCATTAGGAAAGTCTGAAGGTGGTTTTACCAGGCATGCTCAGTAGTTGCGCAGAACCCTTGGGAACTTCCTCCTCTATCAACTCCCTTCGTTCGATTAGAGTCCTATTTCAGGAGCCATCCTCAAGTCATCAACCTTTCCGTTCAAAAGAAGAGCCAAAAAATACACTTTTGTACTTGCAGATAGCGGAAATCCTGAGAAAACCGCTCTACCGAGGGGCTCAAATGGTGAATTTGCTCGAGTCGATCGTCGCAGTCCTCTTGATTGTCTTTGGCCTAACGCGCTACAGAAGGAAGATTTCTATTCATCCGAACATTGAGGTTTGCTAAATGTTACCCTCTTGATGAAACTTATGCAAGCAATCCTAGATTTCTTGGTTCAGGTTCTCCTCACTACCCTCTTTCTGGCCTGCCTGTCTCACGCGATCGTGTACAGCGTCGCTAAAGTGAGTTTTGGTTCATTATATTTGAAAGAAAAACTTTGAATTCTAACCATTTGGGAACTCTCCATCTAAAAGACCATTCTGCTGTTTGTAAGTATGAGAAAAGGACTAGATTCCGTTGCTGAATTAGATTTCTTTACAGTACTAAACCAGTCAACTCGGAGTGGTGGGAAGCGCTATTTGTAAGCGATTTAATACCACTGCTACTAGTATAGATCTTCCAGTCAGGGTCAAAATTTACATTGCAGAAATTTGCCCGGTCAGTTCGACTCCAAACCAGAAGCAGCAGCCCATACGATTCTCACCTGCCGTCTGTGGTTGTGGGAATTTGTCTTCCGCGGCATGTAGGAAAGGGGCGGGATCTGCTGGGTTTCTGGAGGAACAGTGAATTGATGGGTACCGACGGCACCTGTCACGAGTGTTTTGAGTGAGAGAAATGGGAGAATCCAGGACTCTCTTTTCAAAACCCTAGCTCGCAGCTAAGTCTGAACTCAGACTGATCACACCTCTCTCTGAACCTGTTGCTTCACAAAGGGTAGCCGGTTTTCTACGTGGGACATCCTATCGTGCTTAAACACCGCGTTTGCGGCGAGACTTCACACATTCTTTTGCTGCACTTGAAGACACATAGTACGCTCACACATATTGTGGGTGTATGAGACTATCAGCCCCCCGCTGTCGCTGTGTCGTGTCGCCCCCCCCGCCCAAACAACATGCGCAGGAATGGAGATACAGGACCGTGAAACACGCTAGTTCGTCCATGCTCCGCCCAATGCCTTTTTGCGGCGCAGATTCCCGTCCTTCATAACATCCGTCGTAAGCGCGCGTGTCGCGTGCGGCTCCTTGGCACTTTGCCAAGTCCTTTAATTGCGCTTCAAAACAAGTAAAACGCAATTTCCTGATGCGGATAACATTGGAGGTGCTGCAAAATAAGAACAGAAGATGATGACGAGGGTCAGAACTTAAAAGCAACTGTGCCACTTCTGCAACATCCCTCGGAGGCCGCGTATTTCCACGAAACATGAAAATAAAACGGCATACTCGTTAGTTTAATACAAGCAAAACGCAATTTCCTGATGCGAATAAAATTTGAGGTGTTGCTCATGCTTCAAAATCCATGTACAAGGAGATGAAGATGACACAGGCTAGAAATGAAGCACAACGATGTAATGTAAATAAAACAAGAATGAAAAAATCAAGGAAAGGCAATTGTTAAACTGCTGTAAATTTCTACGATCCGGCGCCAAAGCCATAGAAATACTTAGAACAAACGAGTGGGACGCTTGGGCTGTTTTTATTTTCATGTTTTGTGGGAATGCGCGGCCTCTGATGGATACTGCAGATGCAGCCGAGTTGCTCTTGAGTTCTGGCCCTCGTCATCATCTTCTGTTCTTATTTTGTAGCACCTCCAATGTTATCCGCATCAGGAAATTGCGTTTTACTTGTAATTTGAGAGCGCAATAAAGGACTTGGCAAAGTGCCAAGGAGCCGCACGCGACACGCGCGCTTACGACGGATGTTATGAAGGACGGGAATCTGCGCCGCAAAAGGTGTAAGGCGGAGCATGGAGGAATTAGCGTGTTTCACGGTCCTGTATCTCCATTCCTGGGCATGTTTGGGGGGGACCACGACACATCGACAGCTGGGGGGCTGATAGTCTCATTAACCTCATGTGTTGAGCGAAGCCATGTGTCCTTTAAGTCTTGGAGGACAATAGGGGAATAGACTGAAGCAGGCTAGATGAGTCACTTACATGCGAAGCATCTAGCTAATGCTACACTCTCGAGTTCTGAGAAGTTTAGCCTACTGTTAGATAGTTTTTTTTTGCACTTTCACAGTAAGTTTTTGCAGTTTCATACTGGAAATGAACTTTCAGTATAGCTCTCTGAATTAATCGCTAATTGCAGGTCTATCAATTGAAACTGTCGTTCTTCACGGAAAATCCTTGCCATTTGTTTCTTCCACGAACATTCTACATCGTAACGCATACTCTTATAGTATATTCGAATTTATGTATGCAAAATATACAAGTTGCGATGATCATCGAACGATCTGTCGCCACAATATGGGTGGATACCTATGAGAAGAAATGCCGATTTTTTGGTGCTATTCTCGTCACTATTACGGTTTGTACTTTATCCACATGTACTGCATTTGACAATCCTTTTTGGGATGTAGCTCAGGGGCCCTCACCCTCAAGGGCACAAACGACGAGGGAAACCATTTGACATGTGATCCCTGGACCGTGGTGCTCTCAGTTAGTAGCGCCATTTTTCACCCCTCACCTCAGCCCTTGAGATTCCGACGCGGTGTACATTCACCTCATTGCACCCTGTACGCCCAGAAGAGCCCAAAACCTGCCAGTTTCGCCAACAAAGACATCGAGAACGGAGCGGGGAGCAATCAGCAACGCAATCCACAATTGTGACGGTTTAGACTAATTCTGAGCACTAACGTACAGGGTGGTGTAGTGCAAGTGGGACGCTTACCACGCGCGCAGCCCGGGTGTCAAGTCCGGGGTCGGTTCCCGGCCAAGTCTACCAAGTCGTTTACTCCTTCATTGAATCTAATGAGTGGACCACATTCAATTCTCTACTGCCCATTTTGTATACTCAGGCTGCATTTTTGTTGATATTTACCCCTCTGGCACTAAATGGGCAGGATTTCGTCGCCAGACTGATTGCTCTTAACCATGATATCCGAAAGCCCGGTACAGAGCCACTGAATTCACAGAAAACGTGTTCACCATATTTTGCAAAGATCGAGGTCCACGGAAAGGGCTTCCAATCGAGGTCCAAGGAAAGGACCCAGTCCACATTAGCAGACCTCAACTTCGAAGAGAACGTCTTGCGGATGGCGCCAGGAGTTTCTGCGCTATAATCCATCGTAAGCGGACCACTTGCCACCTCCGCCCTTTAATATTGGATGTCATGATTGTGTTTACAAGATTACCATAGGAAACAAACTTTTCCCTAAGTAAGGAAATCTGACCCAGTTGTTGGAAAAGGGGTAAATAGTTAGAGGAAAACCACAGAGCAATAGTTGCCGGAAGACTTAGCGATGGTGGCATGGGTTTGAGAGAAGGGGACAAAAATCTGGGGGCAAAAGGTCGAGAATCCCTACAAATTTCCTACAAATTCCTCTTTGCTCAACGAAGAAGACCTAAAAGGAACCTTCTGAGAGCTCATTCAAACCTGACAGAGAATGAAATAAATCAATTTTTAGCTGTTGTTGACTGTTTTCGAAACTGGTAATGGATACAGTGATATTTTGGCTAATTATTTAATGACAAATAGTTTGATGATAACCGAATCGACGGCCACAAAAGTGACGACCGCTTTTGCTGTGATTTTCGTTGTTTGCTGCATATCACTGCTCATTATTATATCACAATACTGCTTCAGTTTACATCGGAGGAAACGGTAAGATGCTCTTTTCCCATGAAATTGAAGGCATTGCGGCGCTCCGGGATACTCCATACATTCAGGCCCTCCAAAAATCATCGCGCGGCAGTTTCATGGCAACATTCCGCGCCGTACCGCTTACCAGCTTCCGGCTATTTGACGGCTCGCATTAGTTTATCGATTGGAGCATCCAACCCATGGAAATCCAACCCCCCTTGCACATGATATCAATCTGTCCTCGTCCCTCCAACATAGAAGCTCAACTGGCAGGCCAGCACAACTCGTCCCTCGCGTGCGCGGCGTCGCTTACAACGCTTATCGCGGCAAATTATGACTGTCTTGGTAGATAACAATTCCTTGGCGTACTAGGTAGCTGGGCAAAAAGAACAAAGGGATAGTCCATCGGCCTGATTCATTCACTACAAAGAAAACTCGGGAACTCCAGAACCGGACTTTTGTAAAGGCTGGTCGGACCGAATACAACAAGGCCTCAAACTCGACTAATCCTGCCACTTCATATCTCCATGTGCTGTATGCAAAGACATACTTGACCCTTTCCCGACCGCCGGGCCGATCTCCAATCTCTACTGTTCCTTGAAATTTCCAAATTTTGTAACTTTCTCTTCATCATTTCCACCCTCATTCTGCAAGCATGTAGAGAATGCCCAACGGACCGAGACGCATCTGACCCCGCCCAGACGCTCCGCTCACCTTCACTTCTTCTCAGTCGCATGTCTACATGACATCCTTCCCTTAGACCGCGTTCATATTTGTGACCAGAAAAAGCCATGCAAATTGGAAGTGGCGCGGTTTGATTGCGCCATTGCAACCGAATAATGTAGTTTCTTCAGTATAGAAATTTTGAAACGAAATCAAACCATCTCAGGAAGCGATATCTGGAGAACTTCAGGAGAACGTTGACTTCTCGCTATCAAAATTCTGAGAATATTTTCACATCGGGAATGCTCTGCGTTATTTCGTCAATTCAACTGACAACATTCGCCATCTACGGCTTTTTCATGACTTATCTTAGATTGGTGCTCTACGACAGTCCCATGTACGATCCATACAAAGAATGTGTCTATGTGAGTTAGGGGGGGGGGTGTCCTATTGAATTGACATAGCCGGTCAGATTACCTCATGATAAAAAGTAACTTTCAGACAGTTCCCCTGTGCACACTACTGTTACCGTTAGCTGCAATCATTTGCATAGAAGTGTCCAAGAGAAAACGGTTGAATGGGATCCAATCGATGGTTATGGTAAGAGTGGACAAAAGAATTCGCCCGAAGTTTCTGGGTCAAACTGGCGTATTTCAGATGCCGACGAGCGGTACGGAAGGCTGGCAGAACTATGAGCAACAGCTAAGGCAACAATGGAGTTGACAGCTATCACACATTGTGCCCAGAAGATCTCTCCGTCTCAAAGTGACCTCATTGACAACTGATTATCACATGATCATTACCATTACCTAAGTTAAGGCCTTTCCAAAGGTAAATGGCCACTAGCTCATGTCGGTTTAACTTTCTTTTATTGTGAGTTTCTATTAGGTTAGTGCATAAGTTCTTAGCCATGACTTTTTCGTAAATATCTCAATAGCGAACCATTAGAGGTATGCACCATCACCATCCACTACTCGACGCCAGCGCTCAGGCAGCTTGTCGATTCCTTCCTTCCAGAACGGGGGCTGGGACTTGAAGAAGTCGTCGAGTGCCTTTCTGACCTGATCCTTTGTTTCGAATCAGAGAGCGCTGCAGAGCGGCAAACATCCACCAGCCATAGTACAAAGGCGATGTCGGGCTTATCGGGGCTGGGCGACCATCAGCCATCCATACTTCTCCGGACTCGGCCCTGGGTCGCCTTTGCGGTGTGAGGTCGGGCGTTGTCATGGTGGAAGTAGATTTCCGCATTCCTTCCACGAGTACGGTCGACGTGATCTTTCAATTTCCGCAGCTGGGTCACGTATGTGGAAGCGTCAATCGTCTGTCCCTTCTCCAGCAGCTCCCAGTACTCCATGCCTCTTCTGGACCACCAACAGATAGACCAACCTCTTGGGGACATGGTCGTCCTTGGAGGCTTCAGCTGCTCTCCATGTTGCCGAGTAGAGAACATCCAAACTCTCCCTCTCCATTGACATCGAGTCGAGGAAGTGAAGCTTCTTTGTGAATCGTGAAGCAAAAACCAGGCAGTGGCGCAGGTACATTTGTCACAGTGGAAATTGTGCGACATTGTGGCCTGCAAATGCAAGGTGGGTGAGTGATAGCTAGTGTGATAAAAGAGTATAGTGCCCACGTCACGCACACGTGATGACGATATACCAACATCCATGCAAACGAAATACGGAAGGATCAAACACGTGGCTAAGAACTTATGCACCAACCTAATAGAACACTACCAAACATAACTCCTCCAATCGAAAAAATCCTTCCGGGTCAAAGGGGTTCTATGTGGGAGTTTCTCGACGATCTTATCATTCTTTCACTATGTGCCGGGGCATCAAAACAGAATTCGTAGTCAGAAAAACGCTTACGAGAGTGCTTCAAATCCCTTCCTTATGGTGCCACCAATTGTGTATGTCTCTTAGGCCGGCAATGTCCGTGAGAATAGAATATGTCCATTGAAATCGTATGACGATCATAATCTTATAATAAATCGTATATATTGATATTTGTCGCCCAATTGGCTGAAATGCACACAATGAAGTCCATTGAACCTGACCAAAAAATTATTCATCGAAAACTAACGATGGAATGAGTCGCTCGTGTTCTTGGGACATAGTTAGGCATGGCATCAAGAAATGTTGCCTCATGTGGCCACTCCCTGGTGTTTGGTCCTCCACCCTACCCCTTAAGCAACAGCTCCATTGAGGCGCGCTCGACTCTGTCCAGGAATAAGGAGCTGAGATGATTCAAGGATGGCTTCTTTAGGGGGGGGTCTCTGTCTTCATATTTTCCCCCTCTTCTTTTCTAATTTGGCTTGCATTGAAAGGAGGACAGTTCGATAACCCTCTCTTGATACCCCATCAGGTGCTAGGGTAAGAGCTCAGTACGAACAAAGGACGGTTGGTCGGCCCTCCCAAGAAATCTATCAAGCCAAAGGGGGATAATCTCAAGTGAAATGGTCTCATACCGCTTACCCATTATAAGAGCATGGATAATGCAAGAGAAACAGAAAGAGAGGAAGTGTTTCAAAAATAAAAACGAAAGGAAATGAAAGATTCTGTTAACAGGTCACTAGATAATGAGAGCTGAGTCAGAGGGAAAGTGAGGAGGTGCCGTCAACTAGTTTTACATGCTGATAGAGGTCACTAAAACCGATCAGACAGTGAAGGTAAGATCATACTGTATAAGATGGAAGCTGAACTTATTCGAACTACAATTGGTACCCAGAACACTTCTT